CTCCGCACTCATCCTCTCCATCTCAAAATCAGGAAGACGAGTTCGACGTCATTAAATGAAAGGGTGATAAATCTACAAACGCCGGGCGGTTTGAAAAATCGTGTAACTTCCATGACAATGTATGACTTATACGTTGCCTTTTTATTCCTGTTGAATCCCGGAGATCCCTTAAAGTCGATAACGGTTATTTGCTGTAGTTATTTCCCAAACTTGTAGTACTACTCCAATTTGTTGGATGATATGTACATTTCCAATTAATTTTGGTAGCACCGCAATATTCGGGTCAGTAACCTAATTTATCAGGGCACTACCAAAATTAATTTAGGTACTACCACAGTTAATTGGAAGTGTTCATATCGTCCAATAGTAAGCGAATTTTATTTAAAGGTTCGGCACTACTTTTGTGCCCGAACCTCCGAGCTGCCATTCTATTTGAGTTCGGAACATCCGATTCGGTGACTGGCGAGTCGCAACGTTGGTGCTTACCACCTCGCGAGGTGGTTCTGAAAAAGGTCCGACCTATCGAAAACCAACGGATCTGATTGGTCGAATCTGGTAACAGCGGTGTTCACTGGTGTGGGTGATTGATGAGGCAAATCGGGACAAAACTTCCCAAAGAGGTTCGGAACTTCAAATAAAATTCGCTCAGTTGGGACTTAACCCCTACCTCTTTTTTTCCATGTGGTCCGAAGGTGCATGATATTGGGCGACCGAAACGCGTGGCGTCATTAAGCAATTAAAATTATAAATATTGAATTAATTAATGAATGTAATTACTCCGACCAACAGGGACGGAAAGCAGAGGGGCTCAAGGGGGCGGGAAGGGGGGGACGTAGTGGGGGCTCGAGGGGGGCGCCAAAAGGAAACGAGGCTTGGCCGGAGGCGCTCGGCGCGAAGATGGGGATTTCCGATGCAGAACGCAAATTGCTCATTATCAATCACGTCGCTATGCGCTCTCTAAACTTGGGCGGTTTTTAAGACTCACGTCACGGATGACGTGATCGCTGACTCGCGTATTCCTTTATGAGGAAATGAGAGGATCGTCGAAAATAGTCCACTCCGCCGCGCCAGCCGTTTCGCCGCCCTCCGCTTTTCCTACGTGTCCATCCCGACGTCGTAGTCCGCAAGCTCTCGGCCAAAATTCAAACAGGCCCGCCAGATTTTCCACACTGGAAAAAAAAAAAAATTGGATCTAGACTCCAGACTCTTGAAAAAATTGACAAGAAAAAGCACTCTTGATTCAATTAGATTTAAGCTTAAATCAAAAGGAGATCCGCTCAAATTCAGAGGCTTGGCTCTTGATTTAAGCTAGATTTTGATTAAATCAAGAGTACTTTTTCCTGTCGATGTTTTTAAGAGTTTGGACTCTTGATCCAATGTGTTTTTTTTTTCCAGTGTAGACGTTGATATTTTTGTAAGCGTGAACCTTGAACTAATATGAACAGAAAACACTGTTTTTTACATTTATGAGTGAAATTTAGAGATTTCCATCGTCCAACGTGTCCAATGTGTGATATCAAAAATTTTGTTCAAGAAAAATGTACTGTGGTCCTTAACGTTCTCTCGTAAAAAATTAAATTGCCTAGTTAAATTTGGCAATAGCTTATGTGGCTTGATACCTTTTTGCTGAACGCGGTCCAAATTCCGTCCCTTGAATTGTGTCTGATCGAATATGATTGTTTTCTGAGTGAAAATCCTCCTTAAAATTCCGTTCCTTGAAGTACCTTGATTTTCTGATTGAATCAAGAGTCCTTTTTCTTGTCAATCTTTTCAAGAGTCTGGACTCTAGATCCAATGTGTTTTTTTTCCAGTGTGTCGTAAGGGACCGTTCAAGCATTACATAAGATTCTCAAGTGGAGAGGCCTAACATGAATATGAAAAATAATCTTTTATTGTAGTTGAAATAAAATTCTTCGATGATTTGATCCAAATTTTATCATAGAGTCCTGCGGATGATTGGTAACAATTTAATAGAGAACGGAGGCTGCTTTCAATTCAATCAGCTCAGACGCTACTCCATTTTTCTCATCTTCATTTTTGCTTACGGCTCTCTTCACTATCACGACAGTGTTGCCTAATTTCTGCGGACTATTCATTTTTTTTACAAGAGAACAGTTATGTCAAGTCTCTCTAAGATTTCAGACGGAGTTAGGTAACTACTTTATGTCAGGGAAGAGATTCCCGAAATTTTCAAGACAATCTGTGCAAATGTTCTCAAGTAAAGTAAAGTACGAATTCTCTAAAGAAATTTGGTAGCATGTAATGCCTCTTGGCTCCTTTTCGATAATCACTGCCGCCTTATGATTGCCAATTTTATAACTGTAGCTTTAACAAAGTTTCTCTCTCATACTTTTGTAACCTCCTATTTTTCTGCTAAACCTGAATTTCTTCTCTTTTTTTATGTATTCAATTTTTTTCAATTCTGTTCGTTACTTTCTTTTAACCCTCTCTCTCTTAGAAAACTCCCCTGTTTTTTTTTTTTTTTTTTTTTTTTTTTTTCAAAGTCGTCAAGGCACTACTCTGATATAAAAGTATTTCCCTACTGGTACTAATAACCTCTCGCTCTTCTACTTCATCGTTTTTTGCAGTCTTTTCTTCTTTTTCTCTTTCTTCTCCTCCTTTTCTTTCGTATTTCTGCTCCCTCTCTTATTTCTTTTTTTCTTCCACCACTTTTCCTCTTCTTCCTCCTGCAGACACTTTTTATTAACTTATAAAATTTAATAATCCTTCCGGCTGAAACATCGGCGGGAGAGGGAAGGCCAAAGCCCCAGACACGCTACGTCACGTATTTGAGTGAGAGAGGTCATTGCTCCTGGCTAACCCGGCGATTTGCTGTGTTAGTGCTTCGCTGCCACTCTAAAACCATGCAAAAAGATCATTGGCGAAATCAGGGGAGACCAGGCCCCCCAGAAATTACTTGGCCCCTTTCACAGGGAGTAAACCGGTTTTTTCTGGGATAAGAGCGTGATAGTTCTGTCTTCATGCGGGAGCAGACAACCTCATTATTAGGCATCTTACGAAGAAAGGTTGAAGTCGAAATAGATACCAATATTCCAACTCGTAAAGTGAGAAGTCTTTAAAAAGTCAGAGAAACCTGGAAAAGTTAAGGCCTTGTGCTTAACCCTGTAATGTCAGGGAAAAGTCTAGAAATTTTAATGCAGAACCCAGAAAATTTTTCCTCCAGCTACATCATTGCATTTTCCAATTTCTGAAGGATCTGTATTTAAAGTTTTACTTGAAAAACAATTTTATGGGTAAGAACGTCTAGAGAACATTGAATTACCACGTAATTTATGTTCAAAATCCGTGTTAAGTCAGTCAACTTATTTAATAACTTATTTTTCGAAATCAGAGGAAGCCATGGAACTTACGTCACTTTCATACACTTTCTTGCGTCTTTTTTGTCGCAGAAATTCCTGTTACCCCTCTGAAGAGACTTGACTTGACTCCTTATTTCGAGTTGTAGACCAATGCGTTGTTCTTTTAGTAGCTCGAGGAAGCTAAACGCTAATGGAACTCGCATCAAAAAAGTTCTCATTTGTTTATTACCTCACGTTTGCAAGCGACTGTGCTACCGCCGTCCAATAGTGATCAACTGATCAAGGATCGATCAAAGGAGACGACGTCGCGCCGTGCGCAGATGCGTGCTACCACTATTCTAGCTCGTAGGAAACGATGTTGCCTATCTCTTCAAATGAAGGCGAATCATTCGGCTGCTCGCCGGAGACCGCTGCGCTGTGTCGTTGCGTCGGATTGGCGGACAGAGTGCGTTTCGGAGTGGATTTTAGACATTTCTGATTTATTCAATAGGGTATTAGTGCGATTTAACGAGAATAAATTCTACTTATTTGGCTATGCCTCTTGTATGTAAGAGAACCATTTGACCGTGTACTCTGGAATTTTAATAAATGTCTGCTCTGACATTTTAAATTTGCGGCATTACTATCGTTATTTGTCTCACGAGAAAGGGACTATTATTAAGCCAAATTCAGTTCTTGGTGCCTCATTCCAATTAATACTTTAAAGGCGAACGCTACGTATAACAAATTTTAAGTACCATTAAATTATACGAATCCTTCACTAGCCGGTAATTTCTTGTTTTGTACAGTAGATTTTACGCGAATCTTTTTTGAAAATTAGAGAGCAAAATTGTTTTTTTAACCGTACATTTGAATCTGTTTCTTCCAGTGACACAATAGTCGTTGTAATAATCTTGGCATAATCGAGGTATCGATCATTCTGATATCTGAGTAAAGCAAGTCTCACTGCGTCACATAGAAAAATGTGAGCGTTATTAAAACCCGTCCACTAGTCCCATGATAGAAGTTAAAACACATTTTCAGCCCATGTGGTCTCCTGCAGTATTCAAATTGTTCTCACTGATATCCCAATTACTTTCTTTCGGTGGATCCTTTATCAGACAAGGATCTCATAACTTATGGAACGTTTTTCACGTTTGAAAGAAAACGTGTAGTTTTGGCAACAGCGATAATTCGCTACAATGTTAAGCCGTCGTCGAAAGTTTAAATAGTTGCGGCATTTAGGGCCAAAAATATTCGTATGACATAACGCATCGAAACTTGCGAAAAAGAAAAATCTTGTTTGTCCTTTCATTTTCCCTCCCAACGGGGCGTTTTACGATCCTCCGTGAATACGAGCTTTAATCACATACTTTTAATTAACGGTCAAGAACAAGAACCAAAGCTCACACCCGAGTGAAGACGCTGTGTTTGTGTCGTATGTGCGTGTACACATAAACGTAGGTGTGTGTTAGTGTGTGTACGCGCGCGCGCACAAACATTTATAATAGAAAAATAAGGACATAAAGTTGATGATTCAGACGCCTCCCTCTTGTAGGCAAGCGGCCAAGGAATGCGTCTCGAGGTTGGCCGGAGTTTGCCGAGCAGTGCCGAGCGTAATTTTTTAGTCTACGATTTAGACGCCCCTTTGCGCGAAGGTTGGCTCGTTATTTTCTTCTTTTTATTCTTCCCCTATTCATAAGTCGGTCGTTTGTGCTCCATGCCCGTTGATCGCAGTTTTTCGCACGCACCAAAATCCGCCGGACACTCGCTTCAACTCGCCGAAAGTTGCGTTTGTTTATCGCGCGTCTGGTGAGCTCCCCGAATCCCTCTCCCCGGTTCCCGGTTTCCATCCAACGTTTCAGCTGTGCGGATATGACTTCATCGTTCCGCTGAACTCCCAACCAGCCAGCGCCTAATTTTATCGCGTGTTTCCGGTCCCGCTACACGACCGCACCGCGCCGATCAACAGTTTTTCCCGATACAGCGTCTCCGCTCTTCGCGCCGTGTGTCCACGTCCACCTCAGTGATAAGAAAGTGCATAAACCCCTCGATATTTTCATATAGTTCCTTCTTCCTACTCATCGTTATTCCACGGGTCCAGTGAACAAAGATTTGAATGTCATTCGTCGTGTTTTTCGAGTGATTGTGTGGCGGAGCTCTCAGTGACTAAGACTGAGTTTTCGAAATGGCATTTACGGATAGTGGAGTCGGAGCGTCGGAAGGTGTCACGGAGTGGGGTCTTGTGATATTAACGTGCTAACGTGCCGCGTGTGAGTGGAAGGATTACGAGTTGGGTAATGGTGTAAATGGGCAGAGTGGTGTGGGCTCCGTCTTTCCCCAGGGAATGAGGAAAGTGCCGGGAGCAGGAGACAGCTGGTTATGGGAGAGCCTAGTACCCCAGCATGCCGGTCGGCACCTCTGAGTTCCTTCGCGCAAAGCGCCTTCGCTGCAAACAGTGTGAAGGTAAGCCCGCATCGACCATCAAATACCGAGAAATTCGTCGGAAATTAGTGGAACTGCTCCATGGCCGTGCTGAGGAAACACGCCGCATGAACTTTCGAGAGTGGAAAAATTTTCTCCGGTGGAATGTTTATTTTTGAGGAGGGTTCTGAATATTTTCTCTCAAAACTTTTAGATAGTTTAGACGTACACTGGAAAAAAAAACACATTGGATCTAGAGTCCAGACTCTTGAAAACATTGACAAGAAAAAATACTCTTGATTCAATCGGATTTTTGCTTGAATCAAAACAAAGTCCGCGTAAATCAAGAGGCTTTGGCTCTTGATTTAAGCTAGATTCTAATTAAATCAAGAGTACTTTTTCTTGTCGATGTTTTTAAGAGTCTGGACTCTAGATCCAATGTGTTTTTTTCCCAGTGTAATGGAGCATTTGCAGGTGTCTGAAACTTGATAAATTCCGTGTTTGAATGGACGCTACCAAGTGAGCTAAACACGAGGATACCCTTGGTTCATCAATTGAACAATTATCGGAGGAAATATGACGAGATTATCTAATCTGCTAAAATACATGCGTTTAAATGGGAAATGCCGCCAGATGACGTCACTAGGCGGCGCATTTTCTTACTTTTAAATCTATTTTTATACTATTTCCCATAGCCGAAATGTTTTTTTAAAAAATAATGTAAAATCAGCTCTGTAGGCACTCTCAGACGAGGCAATAACAATTTGCGTGCAAATTCTCCATTGCGAAAAAAATTTTCTGAAAAATTGAGCGGAAAATACTCTCAAGTTTTCCTGAAAATTCGCATTTAACGAAGGGAAATTTGGCAACTGACGAAGGTTCATACGGCGTTTTTCCCCAGCAGGGCAGTATACCTCAATTGATTAGAGTGCACTGTTAATAATTTCGGAATGAAATTCTGTGCCAGCATCCATATACGGTCTGCAGAAAAAGGAACGAACTAAGAATGTAGTTATTGATATCAGATCCTAGGTGGGTATTCTGCAGGCCTTTTGGCAAGACACACCCACAAATTTCGAACGAAACCAGAGTTTTAGTTGTGCCAAGTTCATAGTCCAAAAACACGCGATTTCAAGAAAATGCCATCTAAAATTCTATTCTGTCTTTTCCATATCGCAATGTTGTCGTCTAATTCAACGACCGCATTCTATCAGCGCAAAAATCACTGAACCTCTTATCATTGATTCTCGAGGACCTTTGTAGAGTTATTTCAAGTACCACACAAGTGGTAATCCTGCGCTTCCAGTTAGGGCCCCACCCCTTTCGTCCCCACCATGTACCAGCTTGAGGCTTGTTGTTGTTTGAGACCAGCAAACTCGGGTCGCTTAGCCGGGAATCGAACTCGGGACCTCCTAATTATAGAGCCAGCGCTACAACCACTACACCACAGGAGGCCAACAAGCACTCTAATCACTCTGAATCCACGGTTTCAACCCAACTTAACAAAAATAGACTAATGTCCCTTTTTCAATGTGGATGTTTACATTTGAAAAAGCTTGATGAGGAGAGTTAATATTAGTTTTTAATTATTTTTATACGTCAAGGAATAGCGGGGAAAATTTACCACATTGTTAACTGCTGGGGTGGTAATTTCTATTTAAACAATTTGCATATTCTAGCAGATCGGAGAAAGTCTCTGAGAAAAGTCGAGTTTCAATGTGAAAGAAATTGAAGAATAAGTTTGGTCACACGAACAGAACGTTCATCCCTCGAAGTGACCCGTATTGAGAATAGAGGTGTCAGTCATTACGAACAATGTCGCTTATCGAATATTCGTTTAAAAGAACCAAATTTTTTTGCTTCCGCGAGTGTTCCACTCATCCGAAAATCGAAATCTAATTTAGTCAAATCACCTCTTAGCCTAATTTCGATATTATTTTTTTATGGCTTATTCTGAGCGTTTTAAATTTCTTTAGTTAATATTGAGAGTAAAGGCATCGAAAAAAGAAAGAGAATTATGTACAGCTCGCCCTGAGTTATTTGCTAGATGTACAGAGTCATGCTCCATGGCTAATAAACAACTTGACAACTTGAGAATTAAAGTGTCGTAATATGATCTCCCTAATCAAAGATTCGCGCAAAACGCTCTGAAAGAGCCGAAAATACATTAAATTAAATTATTAAAGAGAAATGAGCACTTTCTTAGTAAAAATCAGCCAACTCAGACGTACCTAAGTCAGACCTAAGTCAATTTAGATCCAATCAACTTTTTAAAACGTATTTGCGCTTGGTAAATGACTAAAGTTTGGTTCAAATTAACGTAACAAACCCTCCTTCTTTCTTACAAGGTGCTTCTCAAGGTAATTTCCTCCTATAGATGAAATCATTTTCTCGTAAAGCAAAGAAAAATTAGTTTAGTGCCCCAAGTAGACGTTAGTTTTTTGGTAGATGTTATTCCTAAAATATTGAACACAAAACATGCTAATTTTTTGCTTATGAGGTGATTTGACACATTAATGATGAGTCTGTCGTGTCTGCGGACAAGGAATTTTCATGAAGACTTAATACCTTAGCCTTTTATTCCTCACCTCGTCTAGTAGTCTATCGAACCCACGTGAATTTGCAAAGCCGGCTTCAGGTCTGATGTTTGAATTGAATGCGTATCAACTTCAATTTCTCGTATAATAAATTTAATTTAGAAAATTTTAGTGTATTTCCTTTGGAAAATACACTGAAATCGAAGATTCTGGCGCTTTCATTCTTACATCGGCCAGTTGTCCATTCTAGTCCATTGGGTATCGAAAGTATAAACCACGTAGCCTGTTCGCGATCAGGTGAATGATCTTCATTTATATAACCAAGATCAGAAACCGGAAAATAATGATTTCAGTTGCGTTCTGTGAATTTATCTAAGCTCATTCCACCCGAAAGAAAACCTCAGTTTTCATTGTTTTTAAAGAATAAAATTATTACGAGTTTATACTACCCAAAAATAACCGCAAGATGAGTTGTTCATGAACAAAAATCTAATTCAGGGTTGAATATTTAATCATGAATCTCTTCAATCTTTTTCAAAGTGTTTCAGAGATGTTTTGAAAAAACATTTGCAGCGCTTGTTTCAGGACACAGTATTTTGAAAATGAAGCCGCAAAATCTGTGCAGACATTTAAATAATGTGCTTTCCTCAAATTGGGATGTACTTCTTATTATGTTAGGATTGTTAGGATCTTTATGGTTAGATTAGGTTCAATATTTTTGTCTATTATGTTCAGATTGTTAGGCTCTTTTTTTGGTTAGGTTAGGCTCAATATTTTTTCCAACTTACCGAGGGTTTGTTGAACTTCAAGGAATGTTAATTTGCACTTAAAACTTGGTCTATTCGCTCCCATTTTCCTCTCTCGGTATGACTTGTTTAGCCGACCGAAAGAGTAAACTGTGCATTAAAGTGTTTGAACACTCCACCGAAAATGAAGTGCATTAAATAATAACAGTGTTTCCCTTGTTTACTTCATAAACAACGAGGGAAAGTGCTCTAATTAAAAATTAGGTCTCTCTGGTCGTCTTCCTATCATGGCTAATCACCGTCCAGTTATTATAGAAACCCATAAAAAATAGCGCAAGATCTCGTAAAAGTATGGTCGTAAAATATCGCACCAAGTGCAAGACTTTTTCAAGCTCATTTATATTTTTCTTCCCTCTTCCTTTTTCTTGACGTCTTGTCCTCTTGTATGTCTAGCCCTGCGACTTGAGCGTTTCTAATTGGTCTAAAACGCCGCGCTTTACGATCAGTGGCGCGTCTGGAAAGTTGTCAACTTTGTTTTCTATCCATAAAAATGTGTACGGAACAATCGATTCTAGGTAGAGCTGGCGGCTACCGGATCGATATTTATCGGGGATTTAAATGGAGGGAAAATAGTGTTGCTAACTTGAAATAAATGCCCATGTTATCTATCAATCAGGAGCAGTGATTTAATGACACGACTCTTTCCTGTGAAGAGTGGAATGGAACTTGATAGAAAAGACGCGTAATGAAGAGAGATTTGGCCGACATTGCAGTAATTATCAGTTGCTTTTTTCATCTTGATCATGATTTAATTTTTTTATGCTGCAAATTATGCTCGTTGTAATCTCTGAGATCGAAAGTAAAACATAAGATAAAAGCATACAAAGCGCGTTTAACGTTTCGTTTTGCAGTCCTCTCTTTTAAAATTGGGTATTAGGGTATGTGAAACATGTAGGTGGCTTTTTTCGCAACCTTGAGATTCAATAAATCTGATTTTAAGCTGAAAACTGCCAACAAATGATCCATGCCACTGAGCTTTCAAGTTGAGTTTCAACGAAAGTTAGATCTAGGGCTGATGTCAACCTAAAATCTATGTAATGTTATCCCAAGATCCAGCCCAAGAAAGTTTTTCCCGGCTACGCGAAAATCCTTGAATTTGGTATATTCCGGTTCTTTTGGACATGTGAGCATTTGTAAAATAATTTTCTCTTTTATATTTTCTTTCAACCCGGAATCTCCTGAAATGTTGAATGTAGTCTTCCGTACCAACGTCTTATACATGTGTCGCTTTGTATTCTAGTAAAGAAGAATGCTTAAATCGTATAGAAGAGTGACACATCAATATTCGAGGCATCCTACGGTGTTTTTTTAAAAAAGAAAAAATTCCATACGCCCGTAAAATTCTTTGGAATTTTTCCGAAATTTCTCAAAGCTACGTGACTTACCGAATTATTGTTATATGAAGTTTTTTATTTTGTTTTTCAAATGCTGTCAGAAACCGTGTCAAGGGTGATTTTTGGTGGGGGAGGAGAGAAAGTTTGTAAAGAGGGTCAGTGGCATGGCGTGTTTTGCGATATCGATTGATCTGTCATTGAAACCTACGGAAAAGGATGTGTAAACAGGGCTTTCAAAACGAGCACCTTGATAATCGATTCTTTATCATAGCTTCAAATGGAGAAATGTCGATAATCGACCATTCACGCCTCGCCACCGAAGATAATCCCAGTTCCCATCGGATGCTCGGAGGTAAATTGGCAAT